AATGGCTGGCACTGTGTCTCCCCTGTAGGGGAGAGGCTGAGAGGATTGCTTTTGCTTCCTTAGGCTGCTGCCCCCAAACTCTCAAAAAGGGATCTGCCTCTGGGCTCTAGTGAGGAGGGAGGGACCTCTCCCAAATATCAGATTTGCTCAATATTCATGCTTTTGCTAAGCTAAAGTACATGCCAGTCTCCAGAGGATGAGAGATGGTCAGAGATTTGTAAAATAGTTGGCGGCAGCTATTGGAGGCCCAAGCTGTAAGCTGAACACCAGATCTTCCCAAGTACTACTGCCTCAAGTAGGAAGGACCTCTAAGACCCAGAGATCCAGCATCCCGATTCTGCCCTTCAAACCCCGCCCCCCAGATTCCATTACTTAATGACCAAAGAAACATAGTCTGCAGATTTTGGCTTTGGTTGGGGATGGAGTATTAGAAGCTGAAGCTCTTGCTTTGTTTAAACAATGACAACAATAACAAAATTCAATGAAATAATGCCCCTTATATTTGAAGAACTAAGTTTCCAGTTAAGCATAATTTGAATTTATCAAATGTACCTTTTTTTTTCAAAAGACCTAAAACATTTCACCTTATTCTTTTCAAGGATTATAAAGTAGAGCGAGGGGGAAATAAACCACTAATAAGGGATAACAGCAGTTTGGCAGGCAGCTGTTCTTAGTTTCATCAAAAGAATGACTCGTAAATTCAGTCTTTTTTGAATATTAAAGATGGTTTCTTTAAAAGTGTTAATAGATCCTTTGGGTCCTTCCTGAAGTGAATTAAATACATTAGAGTCTGGTTTCAAATTCCAAATAAAGCTCATGAGTACACATAATTATATCCCACCTGCCGTACATTGGATTATTCATTTTCTTCAGAACTGAGCTGGAATCCATCCCCTACTTTGTCTAATCTCACTTGACAGCGAGTGATAAGGACCTGGAGGAATAAGCCCATTTGAAGGTCACCTTTATCGACAGCTGGCTTATCTTTGCAGCCACAAGTGTATTTCTTAGACCAGTACTGTCCAATAAATGCAAGCCACATATGGAATTAAAATTTTTTTAGTAGCCATATTTTAAAAAGTAAAAAATAAACAAAATGAAATTAGCTTCATAATATATTTTATTTAACCAATGTAGTCAAAATATTATTTCAACGTGGCATCAATACTTAAAAATTATTAGTGAGATCTTTTGTGGGTTTCTTTGTTTTTTTCCATTAAGTTTTCTGTATTTGCCATGTGTTTTACACCTATAGCACATCTCAATTCGAACTAGCCACATTTTAAGTGCTCAATAGCCCACGTGTAGCTAGTAGCTACCATATTGGACAACACAGCATTAACATGGTGACTATAAGGAGGCAGCTGGAGGTGAGGCTGCAGTAATAAAGCAGGGAGCCTTTCCCTGGCAAACCAGGAATTTGAACTTTACCTTGACGTCTGTGGGAGCCATAAAAGGATCTTAGGCAGAGAAATGTTATTTTTCATTTTGAACTTAATCTGGTGGTCTCAGAGAATATGGGTTAGAGATTTAGGAGTAGGGGCTCAAGCAAGAAGCATGTTAGAAGGCTGTTGTGGTCCAGGTGAAGAGTGATAAGAATCTGAACTCAAACACTGGGGGAAGTGGACCAAGGGGAGTGTGACTGAGAGAGATCAGGAGGGAAAAACATCAGGATTGGGTGGTGAGGTTGGATTTGAAGAGAAGGAAGGAATAACCTAGGGTGGTTATCAGGTTTCTACCTTGGGTAGTTGGGCCAGTAATAGCGTTAACTGGCATGGAGCGGGGGCAGGGCGTGGAGGGAGATGAGTTCACATGGGGCCTGCTGACCCTGAGGTGCCTTTGGAACAGGCAGGTAGCTCTGTTCAGTTTGACAGGGAAGAGTTACTCAACAGCATGTGTAGAGTTAGAAGCGATATACAGGCCGGGTAGGAACACTCAGTACTTAAGGTGCCCATGAAAACTATAGGCAGTAACAACAGGGGGGGTGTAAGGCTGAGGCAGTCAAGGGCAGTTTTATAGAACAGGTGGGATTGAAGCAGAGTCTTAAAGAGTGGGTAGGATTTAGCAAGTCAGAAGGTAGAAGAGGCGGCAGAAGTTTAGAGAGGTGAGGATGGTTCAGACGCTGGATAAACCCTGCCGGGCCAGATGGGATGAGGGCTGAGCTCAGAGCCGACCCTGATGCAGTTTGCAGATAGGGATTGTTTGGCTTGCAGGATGGGGCTGGATCGTGCAGTGTTCTATATAAATGCAAGCCAGGTGCCAACCTTTCCACACAATCCAGATTGGTGACTTCTCTTTAAAATAAAAGGGGGCTGGGAGGTGGGTTTGGCAACACTGGTGGTCCTAGATGGTAATAATCAACTGATCTGTGCGCTCCCCACTCCAATAGCCTGTTTTGCTCCTTTAATGCTATTTATTTGCCTGAGTCCTGTAGTCACTGGAGTTTTCTACTTTTTTTTAAAAAGATTTTATTGGGGAGTTGGGGGAGGGGAACAGACAAGTTGCTCTCCTTTTGTTCTTCAGTCTAGTTGTGGAGGATGTCATTTCACTGGCCCGTGTAGGTATTGTGATCATTGCGCTCTTCCTGGCTGAGGCAGTCGGTTGCTGACCATTGAACAGCCACTCTCAGCGGCTCACGGCAGCTTCGCCGATCGCCAGCCACTCACACTGGCTGTCGGCCACACTGCTGGCCCCTTATGGTAGCTTACGGCAGTCCACTGCAGCAGGGGCTGCAGCCTATGCCGTTGCTGGCCATTCATGGCAGCCCAGCTCCAGGTCGAGCTGTTGTGTACAATCTTAGCTGTAGAGGGTGCAGCATCACTGGCCCATGTGGGAACTGAACCGGTGGCCTTGCTGCTCAGAGCTCGTGCTCCCAAGCCAACTCTTAACCAACTGAGCCACTTGGCCGGCCCCAGGAGTTTTCTACTTCTGAGTCAAGGATTAGCAGGTAATAAAGATAGACTGGTGACAGATTAAGGAGGGCTTTTAATACCAAACTAAGGAGTATAAATGTAGGCAGTGGGCAACTGATGACTAAGGGATTGGGGAGATTAAAGCCATATTTAAGAGGATTATTCTGGACCAGTGTGAAAATACAGAAGGAAGTTAAGGAAAACCGTTAACCAGTTTTGAAATGGCAAAGACAGTTGTGATGGTGCTGGCATAACCAAGTGGGCTTTAAAATACAAAATGGACGTCTCTTAAGGAGGTGTCTCCTGGAATGGGCCACCTAGGAACCATCTGGCCCTTTGAGCTCACTGGGAAATCTGCTTTGTAGGCTTCTAGAATTCAGGCCAGTATTTGGTGTAAGGGACAGTGAGTGAGGTCTGATTGTTTGAAACAACTATTTATGTTGATTCTAACATCTCAGTGATTTCAGAGAAAGCAGTAGGAGTATAGACATGCTATTTCTCCTTGCCATAAGATGATCAGTGATCACAGGTAGGTGATCACTGAGAAAATGGCAGTGTTAACAAAGGATGTCAAACTGAAACTCGGGCTGTGGGAACAAAGCTTGTGTTAGACAATAGGTGCTGAGTGGCATGTTGTGTCACCCAATAAAACACCTGCCTGGTCACACTGCCTTCTTAAACACTGCCGGATTGTTGGTTTGCAGTCATTGTTCTAAGTAGACTGTAAATTATAGGAAAAGGCCCCCTTTTTTTTT